TGGAATTTGATGGACATGTCGGCTTTGTGCCAAGGAACAATTGATTTGGTTTTGGTGGTGATCCAGATCTGGGATCTATGCCTTTGGACCATTAGTGTTTTTAAACTGTAATTATGAAGCTGATGGAGACAAAAACCTCAGAAACTCCCAATCCTGCGGGTACATTCACAGTTTCAATATAAACATTTGTATTTAACTGTCAGATGTAATATGTTTGGGTGTAAAAGAGTCTTTTTTTCAGGCAGGATTAATTCCTCCAGTGTTCCTTCGGTTTGTCTGTTAATTTTTTATTGCTTGCGTGCATCTCTGCATATTTCTCATGTTGTGAGACCATGACTGTAGATGACCTGAGAGGCTCTGCCTCAGTCAAAGTGGCTGTGAAAAGATAATCTCATAATCCCTGAGGTATGACGGTGTACCAAGTTTGTTCTCCCTGTCGTGGAAGGAGCGAGTTAAGTGCAGTGAAGCGAAGGGAAGGGAAGGGAAGGGACCCTGGTTGAGCAAGAGGCTGAGTCTAGACATTTTGGCAACAAGAAAACCAACAACACGATACCAATGTCTGTCTTTCATTTACCGCAATCCTCTAAGGGCGTTTTGTCCAGACTAACAATAGAATTTCATATATTTTCACTAAAATGTCCTACGTCTTCAAGTGTAGCAGCTGCTGAGGCACAAAGACCCTCCACTTGTGTTCAAAGGGGCTTGTTTTGGTAATGCGTGCTGACCGAGGCCACTGAGTGTTCGATTGTTGCTGCCTCATTCATAGTCAATACAGATCCAGGGGTCAGAGCTGACCACAGAGACTTTAGACTGGACATCTGTTAAGGGTTGTGTCAACTCATTCAGCAGCGTGCTCCATATAACCATCAGACCCTCCACCAGGCTCTCCCAAATGCCGGGTGGGTCACAGCTAAATCTCTGGTTGGGTCAAAGGTTAAGACCGGCCCCTGGTTGGAAGACGTGTTGCTTTTCCAAACTTGGTGGGTGTGCAAGGCAATTGTAAAAAGGATGCCTGTTGGTCACCATACAGAAACACTTAGACCAAGATCCCACACAAAGAAACTAAAGGAGTGGATCTTCAGTTAGGTGTCTCCTGCGCTGAAATGACTCAAAGGTCAAAGAACACATTCTCACCTGCAGTGCACTCCAACCAGAGGCCGATAATGGCTCCAATGTAATTGAATGATAACAGCGTGGAACTGTTGTTTATTTGTGCAGGGTGGGAATGTGAGAGCTACATGTCTGTCAGGGTGTGTTTTAGCAGTTTTAACAGTCCCTGTTAACAGGCATTTATTTATTTATTTATTTATTTATTTTTACCTATTGGTAACATCTCCCAGTACTTTGCTTTGTCAATCCAAAATCCAAAGTTATTCACTTTAATTCGACCCTAACGACTAGGAGAAAACCAGAACATAATCACATTCAAGTAGCTGGAATCAGAAAATGTTTAGTAAAACTTTATTAATCATTAATTGATTATTTTTTAGATATTATCAAAAACCAAATCAAAAAAAGTTTCACTGTTTTTACTCAAATTTGTTTTAAATGTAGATATGCCATCAAATGACTCATTTTGTCCAACCAACTGTTGCAATGTTGTAAAACAGAGAAAAGCAGAAAGTCCTCACATTTAAGAAACTGAAACCAAAGAGAAAGAAGATGAATTAAATACTCGACTAATTGTTCCAACGCAGTAGGATATCCAAGTTACTGTGAAGTGATGCTGCATTCATGTGATATTTAATTAATACAAGTCGGAGAAATGATAAACAGAGCGAAAGCATTCTTAAAAACTGAACTTTTTATCTTATAGAATTATTTCACCTGCATTTAATATAAGCAAGAGTATAAATGTTTAGATTTTTCACATTTTTAACCAGGTTCGTTGATTAATGAATTGCAAAGTTTGATCAAATGTTTCGTTAGCACTCAGTCTATCTATTTCTAATACAGCCATATTTAGATGAAAGCTCATTGGGTTGATGATTACAGTGTGAATATTATTTGTTTGTAAGAGTAGTTTCGTGTTGTTTGAGTCGGGTGGGGTCGGTGTGTTTTCTTGGTCATGGCAGCGACTAATGTCAGTCAAAATAAACAACTAGTCTCGTATTGATTAAAGCCATTTCCCTCTCCCTGCCCCGGAGCTATTCACTAATGTGCTGCTATAGTCTTAATGAGACCAGGAGGAGGCGGACTGACCCCTGCTCACCTCTGTAAGGGCCCCTGCAGGGAGGGGGCCAACCAGTCAGTGACCAGAGCTGCTGTCTTTTCATGTTCAAACACTGAAACCAAACATCAAGTGAAACTGAGAGAAATGGCTTCATCCTACTTTAGTCAACAGCATTCGTATGTGTAATTGTGAAAACTGATGCAAAATGGATGCATATCACTGACGCTGACAAAACAAATGCAGATGTGATGAATTACATGACTCAAGTTTTTAAGAGTCTGATGATAAATAACTTTGTTTAGAAAAATTTGAAAATTGTCTGCAAAAGTTGAGGAGGTCAAACGTGCAAGCACAATGGTCCTTCAGTCATGCAGCTTCAAAATAAAGTCTGTGTGAAAACGAGACGGCCTCTTACATCAATCATCATTTATGGGCCCGTTGCCTCTTTCGGTCAACGCGACCTTCCTTGTTCCTCTGATATGAATTCCCCCATGTAAGGCCAGGACGGGAGCTGAAGGGAAGGGCAGCTCAGCCAAGTGTGAGGGAGATGTGTATCGTTTAATTGGACGGGGCAACTACTGACCTGGGACTGAGCCAAAATCCAACTCCAAAAGCTTTGGAGCGGCTCTGTGTTTATGGCCCAGGGAAAGATAAAAGAGACAAAACAGGCTGAGAGAGATAAATGACAGACAGACTTGAAGATGATGGAGGACGAAGCGAGATGTGGGAGGGGCAAAGGAAATAGAGAAGATTAAGTTGTTGCAACTTTCCAATTGCAACCTGTCTTATATAGTGTTTCAATAAAAATGACACATCCCATCACAAAACAGCGGCGTGAAGGCATGACACACTGCGGCTGTCAGCAAAGCTGTGCCAGGAAGCAATCAAAGAGAGGGGCCTTCCAAGAATCACTGGCACTTCTCAGAAAAAAAAGCACTTGTCCTTTGATGAGTCAGAAGGAGAAAAAGACGGAGAATACGCGTCTCTCGTTGGCCTCGAGGTAAAAAAAGGACACGAGGGAGCTAGTAGAGCAAACACAGCAGACAGCACAAGGCTCAATGGAGGGGTTATCTGGTAGCACCTTTAGAAGTGGCTCAACGTTTGGGTGAGTTTTGATGTAAAAAATATCCTGCTTTTGGTCTTAAAATGAATCCAGTGTTGTCAGCTAGGGTATTGTTTACAGGATTGTCTTAAGCTGATCTACATTATCAGTATAATTTCCTAATTGATATGATAACCTGGTGTCACTCCCAAGTCCTCAAATGTTGCTGCTTGGTCAGCAGCCTTCAGCTGTGTTGTAGTATAGAGGCAGAAAGTTCGCATATGAAGGTGATGGGGTGGACGGAGGGTCCAAACAAGACCCGACCAAAAGGAAACTATTTCTTTTAACATACCTAAATTTACTAATACTATAATGTACTTACGTAAGTCACGTTTTATATATATACTTATATACTTACATGTCCAGAAAGGGTCCATTTAGGAAAATCTGCGGGTCACCTTCCATGGAAGCTGCCATGTTTAAACGCATGAAAGACCAGATATCTATTCTGTTTATTCTAATTGAGCATCTTTTCATGTAACAGAGGTCAAAAGTTGGACAGGGTTGGATGAGGGGAGTTGGGGTTCAGTCAGGCAGGCGGTCCCTGCCTCTCAGGCTGTGTGGGAGTTAATAAGACACTGTTGGGATGGGTGGGGGGCTGGGCAAGGGGAATTAATGATACTGGCAGGATGGGGGGGCATTCCTGACCTTGACTCCTGCCCGCAGGGGTTCGCAGTAGTGTGGCAGCTTATTTGTGGATATTATCAATGACCTAAAGACCTCTGCTGTTTGACGTGTCAGTCGCATCTTTTCTTTGTTTCCCCTCTCATCCTTTCTTTCAGCTTCTTAAAGACCTCTACTGTAACAACTTCTACATCTTCACTTTTATGTTTGTGCATTCCTGTGTATGTAAAACAGTAAGGGTGATGTTAGCAACCGACTGACGGTGCTTGTTTCTCTTCCTGTCTCCAGGAAGCTGACTCTGTGCCAGGCCCTGACCTTTGTCCTGCTGCTGGTCGCTCCCGTCTGCCTGTCGTCCCCGCAGAGCGTAAGTCCGACTGCCTCACATCAACACGAGTCACTGCATGGCCTCGACAGAAATGCCTCTGCTATGTGTCAACATCTCTTACTATATTGAGACCTGGATTGACTGTCAACCGCAGCTCCTTCAGATGACGTCGCCCTACGCAGTGGACGCCTTTTAATCAGCCAATCACAGATAAACACAGCTATAATGAGTTTGATAGATTTGCTCATCCAAGACTTAACCAAACTACAACTAATGATTTGATTAATGACTGAATGAATTGTTTGGTAAATGAAATAGCAAAAATGAATTCCAAGGTGTCTGAGGTGAGGTCTTCAAATGTCTTTTTGTGTTTTGTTTTGTTGGACCAAAAAGCTGAAGCCAAATGTATTGAGTTTACTATTATACATGACAAGGAAGCAGCAGACTCTTTGTCTTATACAGTAAATGTGCCACAAAAACCAAAACAATCAGCTAAAAGAAGCTAAAATGCTCCATAGAGCTGCATAATTGGATGTAATTTTGAGGACTCTTTCATACATTGTCACTTGATTTATTGTTTGTATAAGAATGTATCAAATAACATTTAAGTAAAAGGAGCCGCAAACAAACAATGTCTTTTATTAAATATATTTTAATTGTTATAACAGAGCTCTTTCAAGTGTTCTTACATAGATTCAGTTCAGCTGTAGACATAAGGTCAATCGCCAGCCATAATGTCAGCCTTTGTGTTGTGTTGTGCAAATATACAAAGCTAATAGCTGGATGACAGTTTTTCAACGAGTGCACCATGCTGAATGTACACACACAGGGCCTTGTCGTCCTAATCCGTCTGAGCCCAAGGCCATTTCCCACAGCCTCCCCCCTTTTCCTGCCTTTAGTCTTTTTCTTACATTTAAGAGTTAACTGTTGTGATTAAGCTAATTTGTGCAGAAAAAAACATTGCTCTCAGGTTCCAGAGAGGAAAATCCAGCTCATTTAGATAATAAACCAATCACAGCCCTTTGACCAGCATCAGATGTGAGCAGGTCTGCCTGCGTGCTGATTGGATTGTTTTTGCAGCATGTTTGTCTTTTAAAGGTATTTTATCTTGGAAATGGTAGTGGTCCTATAAGCCGGCATCCTCTTGGTCTTTCTATGCTCTGATTGCTGCAGCACCACCTTGCAGCATCCATCTTTCATCACTGTTTGTCTTGTTGTCAGGCAGACGCCCCCCAACCTTCCCCCATGCCCGGCTGGAATAACCAGACGTAGACAGAGATAGGTTACCGCTAGTCTGCTCTGTCACATCGAACACAGGAATGTGGTGGAGGCTCAGTACTCAGTCATTTTAAACAGATGTAATGGCACTATTATAAAGTGGTTTTAGATGTTTTAGATTTCTGAAACATTTTTTGCATTGAGTCATCATCACAGCTGCACTGGAAGTGTCTCTGTTGTCAGGATTTGGACAGTTAAAGATGAAGTCAAATAGAACAAATGGAATTAGTCAATAAATAAGAGCTGGTTGTAACCATGTCAAACTACAGGTCGATTTTGCCTTTAACTCACAGTGAAGTGAATAACGGTGGTGAAGTGTACACACATTATTGGCTGAGCTAGGCAGACACTGTGAGCCCAAAGTGGTCGCCTCAGCCAAATTTGAGTTTGCAGTTTGACATTCAACTTGGGGTGATTTATGATTAACAGCCTGAACAATCAACAATTGAGCTCTTGAACGATCGGATGGATTTCTGGCAGGTCAGAAATCTCTCTCATGGATGGTCAATTGACCCATTATCGGTCGTTCTTTGGCCAATATCCTGTTATCTTTGCAGATTTTTTAGATGTCCTGCTAACAGACAAGAAAACGTACAAAGCACACATCACACAGTATAGTGAAGGAGAAGATGAACAATGTGTTATTTGTATAATGTGGAAAAATGATTATCAAAGGCAGCTGATGTGTGTGTATTTTGCACATAATCACGTTATTTTGATTATGGATGTAAATTTT